AGATTGCCCCACCTTGTTCAAGCGGGGCGAGAAGGATGCCCCCCCAACCCCGTGTCTGTACGTAAATCACTGGAAAAAGGCGTCGAGTCGGCACAAGAGAAGAAAAAAAAGAGGGGCGAAAGAGCAAAACTCGAAAGCACGCACGCTCGCGCAGCGATTACAACGTCAGAAAACTCTGCCTAAGCGTCGTCCTGACTGAAGCACTTTGGCACGCTATTAAGATGGAAGGAAGGGAGGGGTGCGGTGGGTGTAGAAAGTCGATTTTAGGTTAGGCAGTCGTATATACGCCCTGGTGCCCTGGTGTTCAGCTCAGGTAAATGAGCAGCTTACTAACTTCTCGTGCTTCTCGCTTGTTATTGTTTCCTGCAAAACTTTAGGGCTGTCGAGCCGTGTCGAGCGCGCTCTGTCGCTCTTACGACACACCGCATTATTTAGGCATTCTTGCGGTTATGCTCATCAGTGGAAGTAAGGAAACTATACTTCTGAGATGATTGCTTTCAACGTCACCCGGCGCGTGACGTTATTTTTGACGAAAATTGCGGAATAACCGGATAAACCGCGTTTGTGTGAAAACATGCTTCACTTTCACGGCTCCGCTCTCGTGCACCACGCTCACTTAAGAAATATTCTCCAAAAAATGAAATATCGTTGCGGAATGCATCATGGGTGGTGTCGTGACATGCGTCACACTTGTTTTTCCACAGCGAAAGGCTCACCGCTCGCCTGTATAGGGCCAATCCCCGCCCCGCCGCGACACGACGCGCGTACTAGCCGGAAGAAGGGCCCTAGCAGGACCCTAAACTGAAAGCATTCTTCGGCATTATCCCCCTATATTCCTACAGCACTCCCCTCCCGCCACCACTTCCCCTCTCGTTTCATCGTCCTCCCATTCATAATTCAAGCGTATAACCCCCCGGCCCGCGCGGCTACACAGGGAAGGGCCCGGCCGGGGCCCTAGAAATCCTTTGCGCCGGCCGTGAAAGAGATAAGCTGAAGAAAGGTATGGGGGAGCGGGAGGGGGCGGGAAATGAAAGGAAAAGGGGGGGAGGGGGGGGCAAGAGGTGGGCATAAGAGGCAATGTCCGCGGGAAACTACATACTATGATCCGTTTTAGACGCCGCACAATGAAACGCGGGCGCACCAAAACGCTTTCGCGGTGAAGCGAGAGAGGGTCGAAATAAGGGAAGCGGAGAGAGAGAGAGAGAGGGAGAGAGGGGGTAATACCGCGGCCAGATCGCCGCCACTCGCTCACGTCGCCGTGCTTGGCGGTGTGCGGTGTGCAGGGCGGCTCGCCGGCACGCAACAACGAGAAGGGAGGTGTTTTGGCCGCCCGCACCCCACCCCACCCCGCCGCGCCCCGCCGCGCCACGCCACACACACAGGTGCGCGAGAGTGGCTGTAGCAGCGGGACGCAGCCGGGGCCCAGACATAAAATGAGATAACAAATTGCTAGACGCGGCGGCGGGGCGGGGCGTGGTGGGGGCGCCGGAGGCACATCGACACGGGACGCAGTCCATAAGGCGGCGCGAGGGACGGCGGGAGGCCCAGCGCCGTGACAACCTGCATGAAGGGGGGGAGGGCACCGCAGGGCAAGGCAAGGCAAGGTGGGCAGGAGGAGACGGACGAGGAGCAAGGACGGAAGAAGAGCGAGAAGAAAAATAAAAAAATAAAATGCCGCTGCTTGAAAAACACGACACGCACACCCCGTTTCCTTGTCGCATCACTCCCTCAGCGCCTCTTCTTCCTCGCTCTCCCCTGCGGAATCACTTGTCGCATCGCACATTGCAGCAGATGGAGTGTCGCGTCGTCGTTGTCGTGCCGATACGTCATAGCGCAATATGTCTCTCTCTTTCCCCCTGCGCGTGTGCGTATGAGGGAGAAAGAATTTGTGT